GCACCACGAGCACATGCTCCTCTGTGGGGGAGAAGGGTTCCTGCGGGAGAGGGCCGGCTCCTACATCACTGGGTCTGGACCTGCACCGCCCTGTCTGCAAACCAGAAGCCCCTGCCAGGCGCACCCGGCGCCCTCCGGGGGGGGGGGTATGCAGACAGCCTGCTGGGCCACAGCTTCCCCTGTCAGGTGGACACACGTCTTCCTTCTACTGCACCCCCACTAGGGCAGCCCCGCCTCGCCTCCACTGCTAACAGACCTGGACGAGCACGCTCCTTCTGGGAGCCTCTCAAGACCACACATGGAGGTGCTCAGGGGACCATCTGTGGTGCTGGGGATTAGAATCGGTGTTGGCTGCATGAATACACGGCATGCGCCTTACCCCGGAACTATGTCCTTGGCCTGAGTCCAACTTTTGCTCCTAGTCCTCATGATTTTTTTGAGACACAGACTCTATGGGACCACATCTCAGAAGGTGAAGGGGCACAGGGGAAACTCCAGACCACAGTGGGTGGGAAGGGGAAACCAGGGGAGGAGCCCATTGCATGGTGCTCCTGTCTCTGGGTACCCGAATAACACACAGCTCTCCCCACCCCAAGCTACGGCTCTCAGGGGTTCCAACCATCTTGATGGAAAAGCCTGATCCAAACACTGGACAAAGAGGGGGTTGACACAGTCTGTGCCACCTGGCACCCCAGACCTAGTAAGCCTGGAAGATCTAAGCACCTTCCCTGGAGGTCTGCCCACCACGGAAACACCAGAACCACGGGACTCTAGATCATTCTCTGTTTAGGTTTTAGACAGTGTGAATTCGCAGCACTTTGGAGAAAAAAACACAACAGGCCTCAACTGTTCATAACACAAGCTCTGCAGGGCATTGATGCCCGGCTCCTGCCTGGCACCTTCCCCTCGCCTGACCACAGCCTTGACTGCTTCAGTTCAGGGGAGCACCTGCGTGGGAACCAGGAAGCCCCGTTGTTCTGTCACCCCTCCTGTTTCTGGCGCACCTGGCTCCCTGCCACGCACCCCAGCAACCATGGCTGAACACGGGAAGCCTCTGGTGCCATCAGGGCCCGCACCTGCTGCTGATGGGAGCCAGATGCTCCCTCAGGGACATGCTCTCACAGGACTGGGCCCTCCTCTCCATCCAGCACCCTGCTGTCCAGGTGGTACTTTCTGGAGCGTTCTTTCCCCTCCTCGCAGCAGGGACCCTGCTGTGTGCCACGCTCCTCACTCCATCTCAGCAGACAGTGAGCTCAGAGTCAGTCACTGCCCCACTCACTCCTCCTGGCTGCAAGCACCGCCCCGAATGGCTGAGTTTTTTTGGGGGGGCGCGCGAGGGGCACCACACCAGCCTCCAATGCCCCCAGTCCTTTTGGCCTGATAGACTGTGTCTTACCTCCAAAGGGGTGCAGACAGTAGCACCCACCCCACCCACACGTGCCCCCGGGGCGGCTCCTGCTAGGTTCGATACCAGTTGTGCACTGCTGGGCGAGTGGGCTTGATGTCGGTGGGCCCCACGGGTGACTTATGTGAAGTAGGGAGGAGAAAGACGGTCACTTTCTCCCCATCCACCTCTGCCACCGGGACCCTGGGTAGGCTAGGACCGGTAAAGTCTGCAGTGAGCACCTGGTCGGCACGGGCCCACGCCCCGCCAGCCCCACAAGGTGGCCGTCAAGCCACACCTGAAGTCCGCTTGATCTTCTCGGCACGGGAGTTAATCCCCGCCACCCGATTGCTCGGGGAGCCACGGACTCAAGTTGGGGCGAGAATTTGCTCTTTGCAGGAGAGGAGAGACCAGTCCCAAGCCTTACCCGAGGTTTCTGGGGTTCTTGTCTCGCTCGCAGAAAAGAATTTCAGGAGTAGACGAGCAGTGAAGTAACAGGTTTTATTTGGAGGCTTTTGGAGAGGAAGAGAAAGGGATAAGCAGATAAGCGGGGGAATGGAGAGTAAGAGGGAGAGAGAGTAATGCACCCAGAGGGAACGCGGGCTTCTCCGAGGGTGGAGAGAGCCCCAACTGGGCTCTTGAGCTGGCTCTTATAGATCCTTCTGACTCAGAATGTCCTGGAATCTCCTTGGGGCTTGGTCGCTGGAGTCAACCGGATTGAAGGGGGGTTCGAGAATCATCTGACTTGGAATGTCCCGGAATCTCCTTGGGGCTGGGTCGCTGGAGTTAACCGGATTGAAAGGGGGTTCTGGGAAAGGAGGAATTTCATGGGGAGGAGGCCCATATCTTCAGGGTCTGGGGATGGTCTTATCAAGTCTTTATTCTCTGTCTCCACAGGGTGGGTGGGTCCTAGAATTCTTCTTCTATGAGACTTTGTTTCATTACAGAGAGCCTTTCCCTATCTACCTGCCTACATCAGGCTCACTGAGCCCCCTCATGGAATCCTCCAACACCCACCAACGGCAAACAGCTGGGCCAGGCACCTGCCACCACGGCCAGCTGTGCCCTAGCACCCAGCTCCCCTCCTCCATCCCACAAAGGTGGGAGACCGATGCCCGAAATTTCTCTCGCTCACGGGCCTGCTCTGGCGGTAAGAGTCCTCGGAGCCCTCCCAGCCAGCCCCCAGCCAGCCCCGCGCGTTCCCAGTGCACTGACTGCCCTGTGGCTCTCACCACAGGGTGGAGCAGGGGGACACAGAACAGAGGGGAGAGGGGAGAGGCCAGTACTTGGCGGTGTGCAAGTCAGCACCTACAGGCTGTACTATTGATACAGCACCTACATTTTTTCTGTTTCTTTTTTATTTGGCGGGGGCGGTGGGGGATAGCTTGTGCCATTTTGGGTGGAGGTACTCAAGACTTACTCCTGACTCAGTGCTCAGGGACCACTCCTGGGCAGGCTTGGGCGACCATCTGTAGTGTTAGGGATTGAACCCCGGTGGCCTTGAACCTCTGAATTTCTGAAAACTTGAGATTAGTGGGAGAGGAAGAGGGAGCTTGAGGGACTACTGCGGAGGCAGGGGAAGACAGAGCTGCTGCAGCCGAGAAAGGGCAGGGTCAGGACTTTGAAGGCAGCCAGTTCTCCATGCCCCAGTGGGCCCCTGAGGGACCACAGGTGAAAATCATTGAAATGAAGGAGAGGCTACAGCAAGGAACTAGGGGGACTCTGGGTCCAGAGGTACCGCACAGGGGTCAAAACATTTGCCTTACAGGCTGTCGACCTCTAGTTTGATCCTTGGTATACAAACTCCACCAGGAGTAATCCCTGAGCACAGCCAGATGTGCCCCCAAGCGGAAAATAAGAAAACATTTCTAAACCCAGATCCACAGCGCCCTCTACTGGAAAATCACGGCAAATGCCAAAATAGGGTTAATTCTGGTTCAGAATGAAAGGAGAACTTTTTCAGAAATCAATCTTTCCTTTTTAATTTTTGGTAGAAAGAAAGCTACCTTATGATTGTATTCGAATGAATAGTACAATTAGCTTTTTTTGGGAGGGGCGTCACACCCAGTGATGCTCAGGAGGTACTCCTGGCTCTGCACTCAGGAATCACTCTTGGTGGTGCCCAGGTGACAATTTGGGATGCTGGGAATTGATCCCGGGTTGGCTGCGTGCAAGGCAAATGCCCTACCTGCTGTGCTATTGCTCCAGCCCCATCGAAGGAATAGTACAATTAGATGCTTTGGTACAAGTTATAGATAAGGTAAGGTGATCCATCATGCATGCAGCCTCTGTGATAGGGAGGTCCGCCCCCTCCTGGCTTGGTTCTCATGGTTACTGTGGGTTGGGCTATTCTTTTTTCTGCTTTTTGGGTGACAACGACGGTACTCAGGAATTACTCCTGGCGGTGCTCAAGGGACCATATGGGATGCTGATGCCGGGGATCAAATCCAGGTCAGTTGCGTACAAGGCAAATGCCCTACCCACTGTACTATAGCTCCAGTCCATTTGGACCATTCTTATCAGAGATGCCCTGCAATGTCACATTCAGGGGCCCACATCTTTTCTAAGTTGGAGACATGATCACACATTTCCCAGATGGATTTCAGCTGCTTGTTCAGGTAAAGCATCTCATGCCATAGCACTTGTTTTGTTCAGTCCCAGCTTTTTTTTTCCACGCTTAAGTGTATATCCAGCTAGTTTTCCCTCTGACCAGAAAGAACTTAACTAGGGTCAGAGAAATAGTACAGTAGGTGCTTGCAGGTGGCCAACCCAACTCAGCAGGCTCAATCCCCAGCATCACATATACTCCTGGAGTCCTGCCGGATTGAGCCCTCAGCACCATCAGATGTGGACTGACACCCACCCCCACCCAAAAGAACAAGTCTTTTTTCTTCTTTTAAAGGACCACAGCCAGTAAGTAATACACAGGGGTTACCCCTGACTTTAGACTCAGAAATTATTTCTGGAGCTGCTCAGGGAACCCTGAGATGCTGGAAGATAGAATCGGTGTCAGCTGTGTGCAAAGAAAGCACCCTACCCACTGTACTATTGCTGCATCCCCTTCAGCTTCTGAAGGTACTGCTCTGGTCATGGGCCATTGGCTGGGACAGCAAGTAGGAATTCTCCATGGGCACAGGGAAGGGCGCCTGTTGGGACAGGGAGTCAGTGTGCTAGAGGGGGGGAGGAAGGCTCCCCATTCATGAGGCAGCTGTGAAGGGGGTGTTGTGGGAAGTGGCACTCATCTCTGACCCCAGACCGTGGTCTCAGGGTAACCCCCACCCTTGAGAGCCTGCTAGCCAAAGCCTGTATTGGGACTACAGGCTACGTGAACTTCCTCTGCCCGTCAACTGAACCAAGCAGCTGCCATGCCCGGGACAGGTAGAGACCTCCATTCATGTTCGCACAGCTAGCTCCTTGAGCTCCCAGAAGCCACAGAAATGACCAGCTTTCATGATGGCAAACAGACGTGCTGAAAAGACAGTTTGTAGGGAACCCAGCATGGATTCCAAGTCAGAGGGCAGCTGTTTCCCATGAGAGCTACTAGAGCTGCCATCTGCCTGAGTCCACCGCAGTGAGGGGCCATATCTGCAGCCCCAAGTGCTCGGGACAGCAACGGGTTTATTCACATTCACAGCTGGTTACGAGTTTGACTTACTTTTTGGTCACAGGTTCCAAATATACACCAAAATACAAAATCCAACATTTAAACCTTCTTTTAAAATATTCCATGGAAACCACACTAAAGGTATTTTTTTGTTTTTTTTTTTTAAATCACAAAGAGTATTCTTTGTGGTCCATCACTTGTTAGATGAAGGTTTAAAGACCCTGTGGGATTGAGGGCTCTGCTGTCCGAGTATCTGCAGACTATGAAAAGGTGACTGCTTCCGAGCACTTGATTTTATTGAAGATAACAAGAAATGCTTTTGGCCATCTTTGGTTTAGAACAGGTGCTGGGTGACAAGTGACCCGAGGGAGCCAGCAGAGTCCCTGCACTGGAGAGAAGCGCCTTGAGCAAGCAGGATCTACCCACGTGCAAGGACAGACGTTCCTAATTAGCCTCTGTGCTCCGGGAGATCTGTTCTCAAAGGCAGGCATCCAACCCGGGGCTGCAATTACTGCAAAAGCACAACCCTTGCTTGCTTCGTCAAAGGTGTTAGCAAAACTTTGTTTACAGGTAGGAATCAGAGAACCCGATTAAAGACTCAGGATTCTCCCAGGGTCTCTGATCCTTCCCTGGAAGGGGGCCCAGCCAGGGAGAGGAGAGACATCCACGGCAAGGCTGAGAAGGGAGCAGAGGGGGAAGGCGTGGCCCGCCCACATCTGGGGCTCCCATGGAGAAATCCGAAAGCAGTGCTGGAAAGGCCTCGAAAGCCCCCTCAGCCCGGGTCCCCCAGCGTAGGGTCAGGGTCATGGCCCCAATTAGTGGGGTGCCTGCATTCTTCGCCGCCGTTCCTTGGGACCGCACGTCGTCCTCGCTTTGCCACCTCCTGGGCGGCGCCTGGGCATCAAGGAGTACCCGCCTACAAGAGCCAGGTGGGCCAGCTCAGGCCAGGGCGCCTCCCATGCCCAGGTGGGCCTCGTGGCATCCCGCCTGTGTTTACAGATGGTGCAGCTTGCCTCGCTCGGTCAGCAGGGTCATGGCCATGGCGTAGAGGAGGTAGCCCAGCAGCAGGATGACGGTGCAGGGCAGGGGTCCGACGCAGAACAGAGAGGCCACGAAGAAGGTCAGCAGCAGGGACAGGAGCGTGCGGTAGCTCCCCAGGAAGCGCAGACTCAGCCTGGGGCCCCGGACGCGGCTGGTCACCCCAGCCCTCCCCACGGGGCTGAGCAGGTGCTTGTCGGCCAGCCCAGGCTCCATCAGGTGGTAGCGGCAGAAGCTGCCGAGAAAGTCTGCTCGCGAGCACAGGGCTGCCATCTGGCCTGCAAACTGAAGCACAGAGTGTGGGCTGGTGCCCTCATCCAGGTGGAGGGCGGAGGGGGCGCCCGCCCACCCGCACACTCACCCTGTGGTTGATGGCCGAGGACAGGCGGAAGAGCACGCGGACCAGCCCGGCAATCTCATAGCTGCGGATGGGCTGCAGCTCCGAGTCCCCCTGGTATTCGATGTCAAACCGGCGCAGTCCGTTGATGATCTGGGACGAGGCAAATAAATGCAGGCGAGCCCCACCCCAGAGACCGCCCAGGAGCGCACCTGTGCTCGCTCTGGCTGAGGGGGAGGCCACCTGGGACAGGGCCTCTGACCTGGTAGCGGCCCAGCGGCGTAAGGATGAGGCCGTCTTCACCCACAATGCAGTCTGGGAGCTGCTTCTTCCCATTCTCATCCTGAGCTGTCCCCAGGGCCAGGGTGAGCTGTGCCAGCTGGGCCTCGCTGAGCTGTCAGGAGAGACCATGTCAGACCCAGGGTGCAGAGAGGGGGCTGGGCTGACCCACCATCCAAACAAGGGCCACAAGGAAACCACTGGGGCTGCAAGGACGGCGTGTCTCCCGCAGAAGAGCTGGGAGGGCTGGCGGGGGACAGAACCCTGGGGAAGGGAGAGCCCCCCTGTGTACTCGGAACATCTGGCACAGGTACTCCAGGGCCTTCTCCAGGTACTCGTCCGTCTTGCGGATGCTGTCCTGCCCCATCTCGTCCAGGTCGTTGGCGGGGCAGGAGCCATTGGTATCGGTGGAGAACAAGCCCAGCCAGGCCAGGAAGGGGTGGCTGCTGTGGCACTCTCCGCACTGGTCAGACATGGACTTGGCTGTCTGCTTGGCCCGTGTGATGAGCTGAGCCAGGCGTAAGACCTGCAAGGCAGACAGGGGGGGTCACGAGCTGGGGGTGGGGGTCGCCTCTCAATAACCAGCCACCAACACAGTAACGGGGCGCTAGGGGAGAACCCAGGGCCGGAGAGGTCACATTGAGCCACACTGGAGTTGGCTCTGGTGGTGTTCAGGGGATCATGTGGTGCCAGCGACCAAACCTGGGCCTTCAGCGTGCAGTGTGAACTCCTCTCTCCAGCTCCAGACCCCTGCTATTGCATTGTTGGTTTGGCGGTCACACCTGGCAGTACTTGGTGCTTATTTTGGGTACCGTGTTCAGGGGTCACTCTTGGTGGGGACCATGGGCTTGGGTGTTCAAATGAGGTCAGCCACAAGCAAGACAAGCACCTTAACCCTGGACAATCGCACTAGCCTCGACAATGAATTTTAAGGAGCAACATTCTGTAATAACTCTTTGTTTTATCTTCTTTGGGGGCCACACCTGGTGGTGCTAGGGCTTATGCCTCGTTCTGCACTCAGGGATCACTCCTGGCAAGTCTTGGGGGGTCATATGGAATGCCGGGATCAAATTGAACTGGGTCAGTCCCTCGCAAGTCAAGTGTCTACCTGCTGTGCTACAGCCCCAAATGTGAACAATTTCTAACAAATGCTGACCTGTAAAGAAATTTTAAAAAAAAGGCAAGGGTACTGCCCTTCTCCAAACGTCTCCCTAGCTCAATGCCCCGTGGAGTCTGTATCACTCACCAGAGTCCGGACCTCAGGCCCGAACATTGGGGTGTACTTGCAGTCCTGGCCTTCCAGGCTGTAGACGTGGTTCTTCACCTTGAAGGAGGTGTCAGTGACAGTTGGGGGCCACGATGAAAGGAAGCTCCCGGTGAATGTGGGCGCTGTGAAGAGCCGGTGCTGGCGGTGGGGGATGACAAGCTCGGGCTCCAGAAACAGCTGCTCACCTAGGGCAGGATACAAGTCTGGCTTCGGCTGCCAAGGATTACAAACATCATTTGTCTCTCAAGGTCCCCAAAGGCCCAGGCTGCACAGGGCAGGGGTCCAGCTCCAGAGGACGCCCTGCCAATCCCAGAAAGAAGGGGAACACATGCAGGGGGCATAGGAGAAACTAACACCCACCGAGCTTGTCAAGATAGAGGCACTTCAGGGTCTAGGGCGCTAGCATGGCTGTAAATCCCCAGGTGCAGCCCAGGGCTCGGCCGGCCCCTGCAGGCACAGTGCAGCCTCGCCTGCTATGCCAAGGGCACGCAGGGCACTGGCGCTCAGCCCTATGGTGTTGTGGTGACCACGAGTCTCCCAGCACACTCCCCAACCCGTGCAAGGAATGCGGGGCCCTGTGGGAGGCCCACCCAGACCACTGTCTCCTGCGGTTGAGGGCTCACCTTTCTGGATCATCTCAGCCAGGTTGGGCTGGGCAAAGACTTTGGCCACGCGGAACACCATGAGCGCGTTCTTGGGGCTGACCAGGTCAGTGCGGAGCGCGCGGCCCAGGAAGCCCACAAAGAGCTTAGTGTACATGAGTAGGTTCTCCTGCACAAAGGGTGCCCTGGTGGTGGGGCATGGTGTCAGGGATCCACAGATATACCCCTCCCCCCCATGATGCCCTGATATTGCCAGGCACCCACTCATGAGAGAGGAAAGAGTGGAATGGTGGTGAAGGAGGTCTGGGGTGGGCAGAGAGGCAGGACAGAGGTGGGGAGACCGAGCCCCTGAGGACAACTAAGTACTCCAAAGCCTCCAACGCGCAGGGGCTGCCCAGGCCCCAGTGGGGAGCCCAGATTGGTGTGAGGTGACGAAGGGGTAGTGGCTGGCACACACCTAGGAGGTAGAGCTGTGGGGTGGTTTGGGCGTCAAAGCCAAGGGTTGGAAACATGGTGACAGACCTGGACAAGGGCAGACGGCCACCTACTGTGAACAGGGTCCCCAGAGGACAGGACACAAGCTCACCATCTCTCGGACACGCTCCGGGGCTGGCTGTCGCTGCTCTGAACCAGCTTCTCAGGGGCGTACCGCCATGGCTGGAGATAACTCAGCCACATCTCCAGCACCTGGGGGGACAGCAGTGTTCCAGGCAGGCCCTGCTGTCAGCAAAGGGGTCTGACCCAAAGTCTGGCTCCCAGGTGTGGGTGCCCACCCGCAGGGTTTTCACTTGACTACAGAGGAATGGGGGAGGGGCGGTCCAGAACTCTTCCTGTACCCCTCACAACAGCAGAGGCCTGGGAGCCCCTTGTTCTCCTTAGAGTCTCCTGCCTGCCCACAGGACCATGCTCAAGGCACAGAGGTACAAGGAACAAACACTTACGGCTCTGAAGGATGCATCCAGGGGCCAGTGGCCAAAGCAATGCTGCAGGAAGAGGTAGAGCTTCTGCTGGACAAACCTGGGGATGGCAGCCCTGTGTGTGGGTGGGGAGGGGGTGTCACACCATAGGCCAGTCCCATGGTTCCCTGCTGCACCCCTGGTGCTTAGGCCCAGCTCAAGCCCATTCTTCAAAAGAGGATCCCAGGACCCCGTGTGGCCTGATGTGCACCTCAGCTGGGATGCCACCCCCAACCCCGTCACCTGCGACAAAGAAGACAGCAGACCTGTCTCCCCAATTTCTGGCTCCAAAGTGGCCGCTCCTCCACCCAGGGCTCTTGGGAGGGAAGCAGCAGCAGACACGGGCCCTCCCACCTCCAAGATAGGGGCGCAGCGGCACCCACACACCTTTTGAACTCCTCCAGCGGGCTGGTGGCGTGTGAGTGTGCAGAGGGCGAGAGCTGCTCGGGCTTCAGGCTGCTGGAGAAAGCGTGCAGGTGCTTCAGCAGCAGACGCACCACGAGCACATGCTCCTCTGTGGGGGAGAAGGGTTCCTGCAGGAGAGGGCGCGGCTCCTACATCACTGGGTCTGGACCTGCACCGCCCTGTCTGCAAACCAGACACCCCTGCCAGGTGCACCCGCCGCCCTCCGGGGGGGGGGGGGGGGTATGCAGACAGCCTGCTGGGCCACAGCTTCCCCTGTCAGGTGGACACACGTCTTCCTTCTACTGCACCCCCACTAGGGCAGCCCCGCCTCCACTGCTAACAGACCTGGACGAGCACGCTCCTTCTGGGAGCCTCTCAAGACCACACATGGAGGTGCTCAGGGGACCATCTGTGGTGCTGGGGATTAGAATCGGTGTTGGCTGCATGAATACACGGCATGCGCCTTACCCCGGAACTATGTCCTTGGCCTGAGTCCAACTTTTGCTCCTAGTCCTCATGATTTTTTTGAGACACAGACTCTATGGGACCACATCTCAGAAGGTGAAGGGGCATAGGGGAAACTCCAGACCATAGTGGGTGGGAAGGGGAAACCAGGGGAGGAGCCCATTGCATGGTGCTCCTGTCTCTGGGTACCCGAATAACACACAGCTCTCCCCACCCCAAGCTACGGCTCTCAGGGGTTCCAACCATCTTGATGGAAAAGCCTGATCCAAACACTGGACAAAGAGGGGGTTGACACAGTCTGTGCCACCTGGCACCCCAGACCTAGTAAGCCTGGAAGATCTAAGCACCTTCCCTGGAGGTCTGCCCACCACGGAAACACCAGAACCACGGGACTCTAGATCATTCTCTGTTTAGGTTTTAGACAGTGTGAATTCGCAGCACTTTGGAGAAAAAAACACAACAGGCCTCAACTGTTCATAACACAAGCTCTGCAGGGCATTGATGCCCGGCTCCTGCCTGGCACCTTCCCCTCGCCTGACCACAGCCTTGACTGCTTCAGTTCAGGGGAGCACCTGCGTGGGAACCAGGAAGCCCCGTTGTTCTGTCACCCCTCCTGTTTCTGGCGCACCCGGCTCCCTGCCACGCACCCCAGCAACCATGGCTGAACACGGGAAGCCTCTGGTGCCATCAGGGCCCGCACCTGCTGCTGATGGGAGCCAGATGCTCCCTCAGGGACATGCTCTCACAGGACTGGGCCCTCCTCTCCATCCAGCACCCTGCTGTCCAGGTGGAACTTTCTGGAGCGTTCTTTCCCCTCCTCGCAGCAGGGACCCTGCTGTGTGCCACGCTCCTCACTCCATCTCAGCAGACAGTGAGCTCAGAGTCAGTCACTGCCCCACTCACTCCTCCTGGCTGCAAGCACAGCCCTGGACGGCCGAGTTTTTTTTTTGGGGGGGAGGGGCACCACACCAGCCTCCAATGCCCCCAGTCCTTTTGGCCAGATAGACTGTGTCTTACCTCCAAAGGGGTGCAGACAGTAGCACCCCACCCACACGTGCCCCCGGGGGGGCTCCTGCTAGGTTCAATACCAGTTGTGCACTGCTGGGTGAGTGGGCTCACTGAGCCCCCTCATGGAATTCTCCAACACCCACCAACGGCAAACAGCTGGGCCAGGCACCTGCCACCACGGCCAGCTGTGCCCTAGCACCCAGCTCCCCTCCTCCATCCCACAAAGCTGGGAGGCCGATGCCGAAATTTCTCTCACTCACGGGCCTGCTCTGGCGGTAAGAGTCCTTGGAGCCCTCCCAGCCAGCCCCCAGCCAGCCCCGTGCGTTACCAGTGCACTGACTGCCCTGTGGCTCTCACCACAGGGTGGGGCAGGGGGACACAGAACAGAGGGGAGAGGCCAGTACTTGGTAGGCGTGGAGGGCCTGGAGGCTGTGGAGGGCGCTGGAGACACTGAGTCGGTAGTGCAGAATCTCCAGCTGAGACAACACAACAAAAGCCCAGAGAGAGGAGATGCAGAAGGGCAGAGGCAGGGGGAGCAGGAGAGGAGGGAGGGGCGGGGCACGGGATAGGAAGGGAAGAAAGAAAACGGTGAGAAGAAGGAAGAGCCCAGAAGGGGAGTAAACAAAAGGAAAACAAAACAAAAAAATAAAAACATCAGTGACCATTCAGACATCCCAGCCTAGCAGCCTCGGGTCAGCTGGCCGCTGCCTGCCGCCCACTGCCGCCAGACTGAACCCCTTCCTGGAGAGCACCTTCTCCACCTGCCCAGACCTGGGCGCCAGAAAGAGCCCGGGCCTCACCCAGCATCCTGCTCCTGCGGCTGGGGTCTGCCACACCTGGGCCACCCCTGGCTCTGTGCTCTAGGGCCTGGGTTGGCCACCTGCAAGGCAAGTGACCGAACGCCACCCCACTCTCCTCGTCCTCCACTAACCTTGGCCCAGGGGCCTTTCTGGGACACACTCTCAGGACAAAGGCCCTGAGATCCTTCCCGAGAAGACCTCCCCATGAGAAGAACCTGACCTACTCGATACGGGCACAATGCCACCAACTACTGAGTTTCTAAGAGCTAATCAGTGTCCCCTCCTGACAGCCCCCGCCCCGCGGCAGGTGTCCTCTGGAGTGAGGCTGAGAGCAGCCCCATCCACCTCACCCAGGAGCCCCTCCTCTCCAGACACCCTGCAACAGCCCTGACCGTGCCCTGCCCACCCAGGCCCTGGGCCGCCCACTAGACAGGCCTGCAGAAAGAAGCCCCACGCAGCAAGCAGGCCGCCCCAAGCGGTGACAAAGCGCACGCCAGGCTCTGCAGGACAGCGGGGCAGAAGGGCAGCCAGGAGGAGCAGGCGCTTCCCGGCCTCCTTAGGGCCAGACCAAGGGCAGCAGCTGCTCAGTGCGCGACCAGGGAGCACTTCCTCCAGGGGCGCCCACCCCAGCCAGCCAGGCCAGCTAACACCCTGCAAGTGCCCGCAGGCTGGGGCTGTCCCTACAGTCCACTGGGCCCCAGGAATACCAGGGGGCGTCAGGAGGAACACAGCCTATGTCCTTCAAGTCAGGGACACACAGACCCCAGGGCCTGCGTGCTTCACTGCATGATCGTCGCGGACTTCAGGCCAATTTCTGCCCCCAGAGTTGGATGCAGCCACTCTGCAGAGCTTGAAAAAGACAGTGTGAGGATGAGCTGGGGAGGCTGGTATCCAGGCCTGGCTGGGCCCGGGAGGTGGCAGGTATGCGGGGTGTCCCCGGCTGACTCCTTCCCTTCAGGCCCGAATGCCGCCTTCTCTGATCATCTGCTGCCTCCATAGGGGGCTGAGGGCAGGCCCTCTTGGGACCTGGGGGACATAGGTTTTCTGTTGTCTTCAGCAGCACGCCCACCTCGAGGTCTGGCCAAGAGGAAGCCAACATGCAAAGCTAGAGATGCACACTGGGAATTCAGGGTCTGCCCGTCCCAGGACAGACTTGGGCAACTCAGCGGCCGTGCAGAGGCCCTGCATGCTGGCAGAGGTGCAGCTAGAAACAGAAGTGTGTCCTTGCACCGGTGAGGGTGGCAGGACGAGCAGACAGAAATGCCCCGCGGGAAGCGGCTCCCACGGTCTGGGCTGCAACACAAGCGACCCAGCACGCCAGCCTCCAGGAACACGCAGCAGGTCAGGCCTGGAAGTGGGAGGAGCAGGCGGGAGCCTGGACCCACGCCCTAAATTGGGTTCCCGGTTTCCCTTCTCCTCTCGCCTCCCCACAGGGGCACTGCAGCACGAGCTGAGTCTCGGTCTCTCCGGAGCCAGGAGAGCCACAGGCTGCTCTTCTCAGCTTGAACCCCAGATCCTTCACTCTTCAGAAAGCTTCTGGCAGCAAGAAATGTGAGCAGCACATGAGGCACAGTAGCTGCGGGCTGAAGCTGTGTGCTGAGGCTGCAGGCGGCCAGGGGGAACCAAGGGGACCAGGGGATTGGGAGCAGCCACACTCCCACTCGGTAGCTAGACCCAAACAGGCCTGGCTAGCGAGCGGAGGCCCAGAGACAGGCATGGGCGCATGCAGGAGGGGAAGGGCAGGGCTAGCAGGGCGGGCCTGCTGGCAGAGGCATACAAAGCACCCCCGGGCAGAAGCGCCACCACCTAATCCGTTCCTGCTGGCAGGGAGGGGCTCCAGGCCAAGGGACTCCAGAGAAGACAGCCTCCAGCCTGGGCATGGGGGGTTTCTGCCTCCCACCAGGAGTCCTTGCAAACTAACTGAGACTGGGGACAAGTGGCAGCTTCCCGGATGAGATGGGGGTGGTATGGCGGCAACATACCTTGGCGTGCGGGGACTGCAGCTTTTGGTACATCTCCAAGGAATAATGGTGAAGCCACATTTCGACAAAGACCTGCAAAAGAACCTACTTAATATGGGCGTCACCATCTCTCGGTGGGGATGGTGGTCTTTTTAACCCATACCACAGGCCAACTGGAGAGCTAACAGAGACGAACAAAGCTGGACCCTATGCTCATGCACATATAAAATCTGCCTCCAGTGGCCCCGAAGACCTGATCCTCAAGAATTACAGTTTTTTTGGGGGGAAGGGATTGTTTCTACTTTTGGGGGCCACACCTGCCTATGCTCAGGGCTTACTCCTGGCTCTGCACTCAGGTATCATTCCTGGCCTTGTTCAGAGACCACAGGAGATATCGGGTATCGAACCAGGTGAGGCGTGTGCAAGTCAAGTGCGTAATCTGCTCTACTACCTCTCTGGCCCCTAAACTGTCTTTTGTTTCAGGTTTTGTTTTATTTTAGGGGAAGTGGCCGTATCTGGCAGAGCTCAGCGGACCATATAGGATCAAACCCAGGCCAACCACGTGCAAGACAAATGCCCTCTGTACTGCTCAGGCCCCCCAGAGTTACACTGCCAAACTCTTAGAAGCAAGCATGAGGGAAAGCACAACCCTGGGTTTGACAACTGTTTCTCAGTCAGGACCCACAAGTGCAGAAAACCAATAGTAAGAACAACAAAAACAGACAGGAGTTCACGAGGACTGAAAATGTAGGGCTGGAGAGGTAATTCAGGGGTTCAGCCCTGCATGCTGCTGGCCCCACTCCAATCTACACAACCTCAAATGGTCCCCTGACTATTGCTGGGTGTGGCCCCAACCCCCAACCTTACCCTTTCCACCAAAAAAGTATGCCACAAGAAGACATTATCGGGGGCTGGAGCGATAGCACAGAGGATAGGGCGTTTGCCTTGTACATGACCAACCCAGGTTCGTTTCCCAGCATCCCACGTGGTCCCCCGAGCACTGCCAGGAGTAACCCCTGTGCATCGCCAGGTGTGACCCAAAAACCAACAACAACAACAAAAAAAGACATTTTATCAACAGTAAAAAGGTAACCCACAGAATAGGAGGTATCTCTGCAAACCATGCGCGTGACAGGAAGGGTTCTCCCCATGGGTGGAAGGCAGCTGAGGAGCCCATTCTCCTCAGAGGCTCAGGAGGGCCCGGCTCTCACCTGGAGCAGCGTTTCTGACCTCCAGATCTCATGGGAGGCAGGGTCTGCATTCACAGACGTCTGGTGAGAGATGTGTCGCTTCAGGAGGCTGGTGTGGTGCAGGCCATAGGAAGCAAAGGGCATGGCTGGTGTCCTATGGGAGACACCAAAACAATCTCTGATGCCTGCTGGCACAGGCAGGGGCAATCAGGACCTCAAAAACAAGAGTAAAACCTGGGGGATCATGATGGAGCCAGTGCACACTGATGCACATGTATACTTAGCAGGGTAAGTCTTCCTTCATGGAGTACATGCAGAGGAGGTGTAATGAGAAAATGGTCATCAGGCGACCACCAGTAAGCAAAGGCTTCGGTTGAGGATCATCAAAGGACACTAACACTAGTGATAACTATGTGGTCTTGGCGTACCTGCCCCCAAAGTCCCCCATATTAACAGGTTCAGGGACCTTCCGTCTGTTTAACTTGATCAACAACCTCCTGGCCCAGCAGCCAAGCTAGCAAGTACCACCAATCTGAGCACATGAACCCTAAGAGCTGCTGCTCAGAGGGCCCTGAGCACAGGCTCGGCATGCAGGAAGCTAGGATTTCGAGACCCCCCCCCCCCCAAAGCACTGCCCAGAGCAACCTCTAAGCACAGTGTTGGGAGAAGCCTCCAACATTGGCCGCTGAGGCACCAGAGAAACCCAATCCCCAATAAATATATACACGTGTGAGTATACACATGAATGAACACATGCATGCACAAACACATACATACACACACACACTCACGCAAGAGCACACACATGTATATGTATGTATACCACTGTGGTGCTCCTGCCAACAATCCCTGATTGGGCTTGATCCTGAGGAAATGCCCAGGAGCACAAGTCAAAGGCATCCTGAACGCTTTAGGAATATCAAGCAGAGAGCTGGTGGGGGAAGGGCACTTCAGACAGAAGGGAACGAGAAAAATCAAAGCGCGAAACATCAAAGCCCTGTGGGCTCAGGCCTCAGAGCTCCCCCCCCCCCACTGTCCCTCCCCAGTGTGGCTCGGGTGGGAAGTGGCATTGGCTTCTAGGACTAGACTGGAATAGTTAGAGGCAATGGGGAACCAGGTGTATCACTTAACCCATGGGGCCCAGGAGAGAACAGGTACAGACAAACAGGAGAAAACAACTCAAAATCTCAGTGCAAAGAAGGCGGTAATGGCACTACACCACCCACCACTGGACCATATTCAGGTGAGGCTTCTCAGTGCCTCAGACAAGGTCACTGAAACCCTCCCTGCCCCTGCACGTACGTATCTGTGTGACAGTGGCTGGAACTGGGGTGGGTGGGAGGGCGGTCTCAGACCAAGAGAAATGTAGGGTCCTGAGAAAAATGATTGTGTATCTGAGAGCAACTTTCACTCATTAGATCACTCCTAGTGCAGGGCCAGGCCAGAATGGCCAGAGGTAGGCACAGGCAACATGCGTGCTGGCCAGCCTGACAGCAGCCAAAGAACCTTACCTGGGAGCTGGGGCCGGGGTCGGCCCTCCCGGGCTGGAAGAGAGTGGAGGGGGCACGCTGCCCTCTGTGGGCAGGAACCACGACAGGTACCTGTCCACCAGGATGAAATAGGCACAGTCTGAAGTCCGGACGTGGAGGGTCCCAGGGAGAGGCTGAAAAGGAGTGTTAACACATGGCTCTGAGCACCGCCTGATGCTGTCTCCCAGCTGTCTCAGGGCGCAATGCCACATGCACGGACGATGCACCCCGGCAGCGCCAGGAGAAAAGCTCCCACACTGAGGGCTGACTACACCCTTAATCCTGTCCAGAACGCAGCCCCCACGCCCTGAGCTCCAGGAGCCCAGGTGACCTGTTAGGCCTGACCGCCATCAGTCATGTTCACAAAGGGCAGCCTGAGAGTAAAAGTGGAGGAGGAAAGACAGGAGGGTGGGAAGAGGGGAAAAGAGGCTAGAGAAGGCCCAAGACTGGCTCCCAGCTGCTCCGTGTTCTGTAAGAGTGGGGAACCTGCCCCCCTCCCTGCCCACCTGAACCCCCATTGCAGGAGGCGCTGACCTGCAAACTACAGAGACAATTCCTCTCATACCTTTTGAGTGATGAGACTCAAAGCGAAGAAGAACATGTAATACTCAAACGGATCTGAGGATCACCGTCAGGGGCCAAACAGGCTGCTATGTGCTGGTTCCCCCAGCCTCTCCTCCATCCCCCATCCCCCACGCCCCAGGAGGTGGAAAAAGGATACTGAGGGATAGGTGCAGGCTCGGCCCCCCTGTGGTGGGGAATTGGACCTTGTTGTGGAACAGGGGGCTGTCGGGAAGCACGCGCTCCTGGATCGATGCCTTCACAGGACCCTGTAGAGAGGAAGGCGGTTTGAGGGTGGCTCTGCACATGGCCCATGGAAGGTGTGGCCCTTCAGGAAGTTGCCACTGGTCAGCCAGGAGCAGAGATTGCAGCTAGGCCTTCTCACACCCTCCCCGCAAACACGCACCATTGCCTTCGCTTCTCCCACCCGTGGAGGTCTCACCCCTGCACTTGCCCCTGAAGGATGGGAGACCCCAGCCCACTGCCCCTCCTGCCATTGGTCAGGAGCAACCAGGAAGAACACTCAGCACCAGCAGCATTTTTTCATTTGAAGAAACAACAACAACAACAATAACATAAAAAAAAAAAAGCTTGAGGGTCAGAAGGTTTCTCAAAGAATATGGTTTATGGGAGCAGAGATTGTCCAGTAAGGAGGGTGTCTGCCTTGCACATGGTTGACCCAGGTTCAATTCCAGGCAACACATTGGTCCCCTGAGCACTGTGAGGAATGATTCCTGAGTGCAGAGCTAAATCTGACACCCACCCCCTGCCCCCTAAAAAAAGAATATGATTCGCATGTGTGAGGCACGAGTTTAAGCATTGGCAGTACATAAGCCCCAGGAGCATTGGGGTAGGGGTGGGGAGGACCACAGGCACCAGCAGGAGTTTCTATGGTCCCAGCACTGCTGGGCTCAGCAGAACCACAGCATCAGACCTGAAAACTAAACTGTCTGGCATGGTTGGTTGAAGGATGCTGGCAGTGGCCCCAGGGTCCCTGAATGTTACATAAGTGGCCCATAACAAACCTACACCCTAAGTTGACCTACTGTTTTGTGATGCCTCTAAGGCCCTGAACAGACATGATGGCTCTGTCCAATGTCACCAAACCCCTATGAACCATCCCACAGCCACTGGGCAGAACCCTATGCCCCAGGCACTGTTCTCACCACTACTACTTACAGGCAAGTAGGAGACGGGGAAGTCAAATTTGTAGTCTTCAGCTTGAAGCTTATACACCAGCTTCATCATTGGGCCACTGCACATGAGACAAAACCAACAAAGATCAGTATAGAAACTGCAAGCCATCAGGCGCCGTTGCTTAGACTTGAGAAATGCAAAAATCATGACGAGGGAATGTGCAGTCCCTCTCAGTGACAGACCTACCTACCCCGGGTCTAGAAACTCCATTGCAATGCTGAACTCCACGGGGCTCACACGTCCCTGAAGGCAGCGAAGGTTCCAGCCTACGAGGATGCCATCCAAGCTTCCAAAAATGCTCTCCACCAGCCATGGGAAGATGGCATGCAGCTCCTGCAACAGTGTGTCCACGAGGCTCCAGGCAAGCCTCCCTCCTCTGCGGACCACTCTCTGTGGTCACTCCCACACTTGAGACCCGGGATCAGGCCCCCCTTCCCCCCGAATGCTGGCACAGCAATGTCTTCGCAAGTAGGGCTCTCCCTCCTTCCCCCAAGGAGTGTGCTATACCCAGCAGCACTGCCTCAGGACTGGGCCAGTTAAATAAATTAGTACATAATGGAGAGATTTAATTAGAAGAGTTCTGTTAAAGATGGCATGTGCTCCGGAATCTATTTCTTGTTTGTCTAGGCCAGTTTGATTCTTACACTATTTGATTCTGAGTCTGGTGTAAAATAATATTTTCAGGGGCCAGAGAGATGGTCCAGTGGATAGGGCGCTTGCCTTGTAGCAGACCCCAGGTTCAATCCCCAGTACCACATAAGATCCGAGTCAGAAAAGTCAGAAGCAAGCCCTGAGCATTACTAGGTGTGCCCCCCGCCCCAAAAAAACAAAACAGGAGCATATGAGATATGTTAACAGTGAGACCTTAGCAGGGCTGTACCTTTGCTGGAAAATCCTCGATGACTTTAACCAAGTCTTGGCACCGCTGTGCAAAAGGCTTATTTATAGAGTCTGCTTTCAGACTAGCCTAAAAGAAAAAGCAAAGCAAAATGACTACAAGCATTATTTGCTTGGCAGCTTCTACTGATATTCTGGCTTGAATCGAGACAGAAACCCCAGGGCCAGTAAGACAGTATGGGAAGATAGTATGGGGGTGTTGCCTTGCATACAGCCGATCCCAGCTTGATCCCCGGCAGCACATGTGGTCCCCAGAGCCCCCCAGGAGTGATCCTTCAGTATATAGCCAGAATCATCAGGCATGGTCCCAAACCAAACCAACAACAACAAAAAACAATAAGCATGGCTAAAAGACAAAACAACACTGGCTTGGATCCCCAACACTTTGTCAGACACACCTGTCAGTGGTTGAAAGAAGTGTTTCTTGGGCAGGAGCAGTGTGTAAGGTACTTGCCTTAAACACAGTCAACTAAGGCGCTGGAGCAATAGCACAGCGGGTAGGACATTTGCCTTGCACACGGCCGACCCGGGTTCGATTCCCAGCATCCCATAAGGTCCCCCAAGCACCGACAGGAGTAATTCCTCAGTGCAGAGCCAGGAGTAACCCCTGAGCATTGCTGAGTGTGGCCCAAAAAGCAAAAAAAAAAAAAAAAAAAAAAAAAAAAAATTGTCAACTAAGGTTTAGTCCCTGGTACCACACATGGTAACTGAGCCCTGCCAGGAGTGACCTTTGAGTACAGAGCCAGAAATAAGTCCTGAGAACCTCTCGGTGTAACCCAAATACCACTGAGAAAAAAAAAAAATAAATAAAAAGCATTACTTGACCTTTTCACAACTGTGGCCCTTTTTCTGCCTTATTTACTTTCTGAGGTCATCTCATCCTAACAGTTGGCCCCTTCATCTTGCATCTGTGGCCCCCTTTGGAATATCCTTGGCTCCACAGGACCTCTGGTTAAGAAGCATTGGTTTAAAGGATGCTATATGCGGGGCCAGAGCAATAATACAGAGGGTAGGGTATTTGCCTTGTATGCGGGAGACCTGAGTTTGATACCCAGCATCCCATGTGGTCCCCCAAGTACCGCCAGGAGTAACACCTTAAGCATTGCCGGGGTGACCCCAAAAAACAAAAATAAATGAAAATAAAGGATGCCACGGGGAAAGGCTAAGATATAATGATCTCTGGACTAGTCCTTAGGCAGCCTCATTTCCTGTACAACCCCGGGCAGGGAAAAGATCCCTATTACGTGGGTCCCTCCTCACAAACCAGAGTCCTCATTCACTACATGTGTACACATGAACTGTGAACTTCTCATGTGACTGACTACACATGATTAAACCACCACGATCATTCGTGTGAACATGCCCAACAGAGTTTTACTTGCAGTCATTAAGCCCTATTAACCAAAATGTCCTTTACCCAGTACAAAACAAACCCATTGAACTCATAATCTTGTGATGACAGAACAAGATGTGTTTAGTCAAGTTGTCAACACCAACCAAAAAACAAAGTCTGGAGAGTCTAAAAGACAATTCAAGAGAAGAACTAAGGAAATCTCCATGAGGCCATAGGATATGGGTCTGATTAGGAGAAAAGGAGCCCCAAGCAACTGCACTGAGATCAGGAGGAAATGCCAGAATTTTCACCAAGGTTTTTGCCCATGGAAATCAAAGGCCCTATTTACTTGAACACAGGGTGGAGCTTTCGAAATCAGAAGGGACAAGGTTATTTAAGGCAGGCCAGGGGTGAGGTTAGCTCTAGAATGGTATATTCTTTCCCTCACTGTTAAAATATTGAAAAAGCACTTCCTGGGGGTGAAGAGACAGTATATGGGTTAAGTGAACTGACTTAGTTCAGTCCCTAGCACGACGATCTATGGTCTCTTAAGCACCACAAGGGTCACCTCTGAACACAGAGAACACAGAGCCAGGAACAGTCGAGAGCACTGCTGGGTGTGCCCCAAACCAACCCCCAAAATAGCATCTTTTGAGAACTGGAGTTAGAAGCCTTCGTCCCAGACACCTATGTTCTCAGCACGATGTTTCATACTTGGGGTGCGGTCAGCTTGCCATTAGCAAAGCAGCACCCCTCCATCTTTCACAGCTACAATAAGGGCACATCACATATAAGGAGTTACAAGACAGGAAAATACTTTTATCCTTTTACCTGCTCCTCTCCACATCTTGGGGAGGAGGAGTGCAAAAAGTCCTTGAATCAAGCCACCCCAAGTTCTGCATACACAGAAGCAGAGCGGAGCCTAAGGATTCAACCCCAAGTCCAAGTCCAGTGTTCCTTCTAGCACATGCTCTGGCCACAGAAGTTTTTCAAGTCAGAGGAAAGACTCTGTTGGCGTCTCAGTTACAGTCTCAGACTGGGGTGCTTGCGGGCAGTTAGTCCTTACCAGCAGGAAGCTGGGCTGCTGCAAATGAGGGAACGCCATGGTGTCGGCCCTTGGAGAGTCAAAAATGGCTGTCTTAAGAAACCACTGTGAAAAAAAAAAAGACAAAATCAAGTCAGCACACAGATCAGTCAAGTCCCATGTTTTGTTTTGGGGCTATAGCCAGAAGTGCACAAGGATCACTCCTAGTGGGGTTTGGAGACCATATGGTGTCATAGATGGAACTGGGGTAGTGCCTCTGCCTCTGTACTAAGTCTCAAGTTAAACCCAATGAGATTAGTTAGCTGTCACTGTCACCCCATTGTTCATCAATTTGCTCGAGCGGGTCCAGTAACATTGTGAGACTTGTTACTGTGATTGGCATATCGAATACGTCACAGGTAGCTTGCCAGGCTTTGCCGTGCAGGTGAGATACTCTCAGTAGCTTGCCAGGCTCTCTGAGAGGGGCGAAGGAATCGAACTCGGCTTGGCCATGTCGGCCGCGTGCAAGGCAAACGCCCTACCCACTGTGCTATCGCTCCAGCCTGTATTAGTTTGCTAAAAAGAAAAAAAAAGGGCAGGCCGAGAGGGAGTGGTCAAGCACCCAGCAGGTAAATAGCAGAAACAAGACTTGAATACACCATCAGAAAGACTGGAACATTTCCTCTTTATTACCTGTACTTTGTGAAAACAAATGAGCTGAGAAACCAGCTCCCCAGAGAAGGGGGTCTCAGGAGGGGCCCTCAAAAGAGCGGACGCAACTTCCCGGTTAGGAAAGGAAAGTGTCCAGAGCTGGACTGAGCTGCTGCTGGGCTGTCCTGGCACGGCGCTCCTCGAGGGCCCAGGAAACACACCGAGACTGCAACTCCAATGGTGTTTGTGCAGTTGAACACAAACAAGGAGACCACGTAGGCAGTCAGGGGCTGGAGAGGAGCCCCAAGCCCACAGCAGCCACCCACTCTTAGGAACACTTCCCAGGTCCTCCCCAATTCATCTTTAGACCAGTTAGCAACTACTGATCCAGCGATGCCTCAGAGATACCGAAGGCTATGCTGTGCTCCACTCGAAAAGGCCCGGAACAGAAGCAAGCTCTGTTTGAAACAGGCAGAATCTTTACTCCGCCATCCTGCTTGAGTCAATCAGTGGTGTGCAGAACTTACTCCTAGCTCTGTGCTCCGGGATCACTCCTGGTGGGGCTTGGGGGACTCTCCTGGGATGCCGGGAAAAGAAGCTGAGTGCAAGGCAAGCGCCCTGCCCTCTGTACTATCACTCTGCCCCCAAAGACTTGCTATCTTGAAATGAAAGTTCAGTGGGATTCGAGCAGCTAGACAGGGAAGGGGGAGAAGGAGGGGTTTGGGGGAAAGGCCATGTGTCCTACCAGCCTAGTGCCTGCCTTTATTGAATCTGTCTGCTAGCCCTGAGAAACAGGCTTTGTTTAGACGCTAGCAATCTGAGAAGGCAGAATCCCAGGCATTTCTGATTAGACATCAGGTCTTCCTTGCAGATGCAGTAAAGCAGGATATTTTTTGTTTGTTTTGTTTTTGGTCCACACCCAGCGGTGCTCAGGAGTCACTCCTAGAGGGCTGGAGTGATGCAAGGCAGACACTCTGCCTTTCTTTACCTTTCGGCACTTACTCAATAGCTCTCGCCTGGGGGAATCTGCTGCTAAGTCCTGTCCCTTATTCCTTCCGCGCGGGTTTCCAGGCTCACTCTCCCTCCCCACACGTCCTGTTCCTCCCGCCGCCCCCAACTCAACGCCACAAACTCTTTCCGGACCTTGTGGTGCAGGTTAACTGCTGAGAAGCCGGCGTTACTGCGAAGGGCCGCCCTCTGAGCAGTCGCCCATGACCCCCCACCCCGCCCCCGAGCCCGGAGCGCATCGGGGCCCCTTTAGGAAACGAAGGCGGGGGGGAGGGGGTACACGGCTCCAGGGCCAGTACCGGCTCCCGCCCCGGCTTTTCCTCCCGCACCCCCAGGTCCAGCCCAAGGCGCCACCTCTCCCTCCCCCCACTCGCTCCACGAAGGTTAAGCCGAGCACCCACCGGGCCAGGGTATGCGAGGCGCCGGGAAGGTGGCATGGGGGCACAGCCCCGACCCTCGGCTCCTCGGCCCGCCCGCCCGCCCGGGCCGGCCCGAGCAGAGACACCGAGGCCCGGCGCGAAGCCGAGGGCTCGCGGGCGAACGCAGAATTCTTCGTCCGAGATTCTGACAGGCAGCCCGAATGCCGGGCCGCCTCGCGCGCGCCGCGCCCACCCACCTGCCGGATCCAGAGCGCCGTCGCCCGCCTCAGAGATGGGAGCCGCCATTCGGCCGCCCGGCGCCGAAGTGTCGTCATCAAGCGGCGCGTCCCCACGACGCCGGGCGGGAAACGTGCCGCCGCCTCCTTCGGGCTCCAGCGCCAAGGACGCATGCGCACAACGACCGCCCCGGCCCCGCCCCCAACCCCGGCCGTCTCGGCTTCGTTACGCAGCTCAGGATGCGCGTGCGCCGGTGCTCGCGCCCGCAGGATCGATAGCGCGCGTCGGGAGAGGCCGTTTTGAACAGGGCTCTCGAGGAGCGCCCCTAGCGGGAGGGAGGCGGAACAGCACCGGCTCGCACCGCGGGCTGGCCCCACTCGGCGCCGGGCGTCGACTGCCGCCTAAGCGCCCGCGACCGATACGGGCTGCCGGAGAAGCCGGGAGCGGGTGCCCGCCGTCGGCCACCGCCGGGCGCGGAAGCCCCTGCTGACCGGCTAACGGGCGGGGGCGCCCCAGCGCGGGTCGTCGCCGCCTCCGTAGCGCCCGTGCGCGTCGGCAGGGGGCGCGCGCGAGCCCCTCGGAGCGGCGCGCGCACCGGCCCGGCGCGGCGGATGGCGGCGCCCGGCGCGGGGCCGGGGCGCGGGCCGCCCGCGGGCGTGGAGGCGGCCCTGCACAAGCTCGTGCTGCGGCAGAAGAAGGTGCTGAGCGCCGAGGAGATGGAGCTGTACGAGCTGGCTCAGGCGGCGGGCGGCGCGATCGACCCCGACGTGTTCAAGTGAGCGGGTGGGCGCCGCCCAGACCCCCCCCCGACGCCGGGTGCCCTCCCCGCCCCCGCCCAGCCCGCGGGCCTCCCCGGTCCCAGCCCCCGACCCCAGCCCCCCGCCCGCGCGTCGCCGATGGCCCTCCCGGACCTGGGCCCGGCGTGCGGCCTCCCCTGCCCCGCCAAGGCCGGAGCGGGTCGGAGGGCTCACTGCGCACCGCCTTTGTGCCCCCCAGGATCCTGGTGGATCTGCTGAAGCTGAACGTGGCGCCGCTCGCCGTCTTCCAGATGCTCAAGTCCATGTGTGCCGGGCAGAGGCTGGCCAGCGAGACCCCGGACCCCGCGGCCGCGCCGGCGCCCGCAGCCGCCGGCCCGGAGAGCAGAGGTCAGAGCTGGGCACGGCGCCCGCCGTGTCCTGTGGTCCTGGCAGGGGGCGTGGGGATGGGGTGTGAGACGGGGAAGGCTCCCCGGGCCGGGACGTAACTCTGCATGGCCCTTCGTGGCCAGGTCTTTCTGCTGAGACTTTTCCAGGACCCGCCGGGCCCTCCCAAGACTGGCCCGGTGGAACGCAGCGATGCCCTGCAGCCCCCAGCTGGGTGTCAGCCGCTCTCCTGGACATATAGGTCCCAATCAGGGCAACTCCGAGCGAGAGACACCCGTGGCCCGGGTGCTCCTTAGCTGTCGTTGGGCCATCATTCCAGGAACTGCAAAACGGCTCCCTCTGGGACTTGTCCAGCCTCCAGAGATGTGTTGGGGGAGTCCACAGTTGGTGGGGGCTACTCTAGGGGTGGGCCAGCAGGGCCACCCTGGAGCCTGTGGCTGTGGTCAGGGTGACAGTCCCCTGCCAGGTTCAGAACGGGGCTCAGCTTTGCAGGCTTTCCCCTCTATTTTCTGTCTGCCACGGGTCTGAACACATGCAGGTTTCTGGGGGTGCTTCTCCCACTGGCAGGCAGAAGCCGAGGCAGAAGTGACCCTCCAGGCTGGCTTCTGCCCAGATGCTGTAGGGACTCCCGTCTCCTCCAAGAGTGCCCTAGGCATTTGCACCCCGGTGCCGAGAGGCTCCAGGCTGTGGGCCGCCTCACTGACCCGCACTGTCTGCTCTCTTTGTCTCTCTCGACCTCCAGCAGCTTTTGTCTCTGCCAAGAACCGTAGCCCCCCTGCAAGGCCCTCCTTTTCCTCGGCCCCCAGGCCTACGGCCTCTCCGGCACTGCTCCACGGCCCGGCTGCCACCTACTCGCCTCTCTCTCCAGGGCCCCCCGGGTCCCTCCGCCTCTCTTGCTGCCTGTTCTCTCCTTTCGCAGGTCGCGTTTATTGGTTTCTCTGCCGGGGGGAGGGGTACGGGTTGGTATTAGTTACTAGTTGCCATGAAGACCACGATTCCCCCCCACCACCACCACCAAACCAGAGCAGCTTTGGGTTGCAGGAGCAACAGGGTTTCAGGCCACCCCTGGCACAGCTTAGGCACAGCACACAGTCCCTGTACTATAGGGACAAGTTGTGGTCTTTTGGGAAGGGCACCTATGCTCCTGCCCTCACAACTCTGCTGTAGCGGTGCCCACGCCCTAGAGGCGGGCCACAGGCCCAGGGGCAGGATGCAGTGCCAGCATGAGCACTGCTGGGGCCTCTTAGCTGCTGGCAGCACTTCAAGTGGCGACCTGATAGGGGTGACCTTGATTCCTCTTTCCCATCTGGTTCTGGACCTCGGGCTGTGGGGGACCTTCGTGGGTGCAGGGCCCAGGTTGGGGAGGGCCTGAGATCCTGTAGGTGCTTCTGCACGTCACCCGCCTTGTCTGTTGAGGTGCCACCCAGATCTCAAGCCAGGGAGGGTAGGTGGGCACAGCCGCCTTTGGTGCCAGTGCCCTGTACTGAGGGAAGGTAGAACCTCTACCTTGGAGAGAGGTGGGTAGAGTCAGGGAATCTTGAGGTAGCACTGGGAGCCCTGCGGGGGTGCAGGAAAATAGTTCGTTTTCTCCAGTGCTCAGGTTTGGGATCCCGCTGGCTTGGGGGATCAGTAGCTGGCACTGAGGTTTAGGAAGATGTGCACCGAGAACAGAGGGTAACCTGGGATGCTTGGTGGCAGGAGGCGAGGGCCCTGGCGGAGGCGTCCCCACCAGCATGCAAGGCTGCATGCAGGTTGCCCTCTCTGTCCACTGCTTCTACCCATCATGATGGCCTGGTCTGGGGTGCAGAAAATGAAGAGGGATGGGGCTAGAGCAACAGCATAGTGTCTTGCACGTGGCTGACCAGTTCAGTCCTCAGTATCCCATATGGTCCCCTGAGCAACGCCAGGGATAATTCAAGTGCAGAGCCAGGAGTAACCCTTGAGTATCACCAAGTCTTGGCAAACACCCCTCTCCTCCCCTCCCCCCCCCAAAAAAAAGTAAGAAGTGGGGAAAACTTGAGGGGTTTTAGTGATCAGCTGGAGTGGAGACAGGAGCTCAGGGTTGTTGGGGTTAGTGAGCTTTAGGCTTCCACAGAACTGGGGTGGAGGTGCTCCGGACCCCGGGCTGGATTGAATTATATAGTAGGCACCGTGGGTCATCCACCTGGTGTTTGGGGACTGTTACCAACAAGCTTGCTCATTTCTACCTTAGAAGTAGAGTGGGGGGCTCTTTGTCAGAGTGAGGGACTGAGGAGTAACTCACTTCTGCCAAGTGTTTCTCTTGAAGTTCCAGAAATTCATATTTTACTTTTTGTTACTTTGTTCTTGTTTTTTTGAGGGGTTTAGGGCCCACCGGGCAGTGCTTGGGGCTTACTCCTGGCTCTTCAGGAATCACTTCTGGAGGTGCTCAGGTGACCATGTGGTCCCGGGGATTGAACCACGGTCAGCTGAATGCAAAGCAAGCACCTTACAAGTACCTTAACCCCTTCGCTAGCTCCACGGCCCCCAGATTGACAGACATTTGTGGGGGTTGTTTGCTTGGCAGGTCAGGGGGGCATTGGGGTCACATCAGGAGGTGCTCAGGGATCACTCCTGGCGGTGCTCAGAAGACCAAGTGCAGTGCCAGAGATCAAGCCAGGGATAGAACCAGGTTGACTGTGTGCAAGGCGAGCAGTTATCTCACGGCACCTGGAAACTTGCATAATAAAAAGATGTCCTGTGCTAGAGCACAGCGGGTACGGCCCTTACCTTGCATGTCACCAACCTTGGATTGATCCTTGGCACCCCATATCCCCCGAGTCCTGCCAGGCATGATCTCTCAGCGCAGAAGCAGGAGTAAGCCCTGAGCACAGGAGGGTGTGCCTCGTCCCTGGAAGAACAGTGTCCTGGGGGCTGGATAGTATAGTGGGCAGGGCACTTGCCTTAAACATGATCTACCCAGGTTCGAATTCCTGGCACCCCATCTGGTCCCCAAGCACCACCAGGAGCGGGGGACCCGGCGTAAGCTCCAAGTGTGGCCCAGAAGCCAAAGGGGGAAGGGCTTCTCTAGGACAGAGATTCCTAAACTCTTTTGGCCACTGCCACCTTTCCAGAAGGGGAAAAAAAAACTTTCATGCCCAGCTGTCCCTGAGGCTACTGGCAGCCCCCTCAGTTGTGCCAGTGTCCCCCAAGTGAGGATTCTGTAGGCCACTTTGGGAAGCACCTCCTTGAGGACTTACGAGATGAACTTCCATCTAGAGTTTGAACTCCAGGCAGAGCTGTGCTGTCTGCAGAACTCTCTGGGGGGGTTGGCACCCATCACATAGGAAGTAGGTCCCAGGTGCCACAGAAGCGCACAAAAAGAATGTAAAATCTCATGAATAAATTTTTGGCAGACTACAGGTTGAAATGTTTCCATATTGGATACTTGGGATTGTTGAAAATGTAGTATTTAATTTACTTCATTTCTTTTTTTCTTCTTATGTGGCCCCTAAGAATTTTCCAGTTGCACACAAATCTTTGTTTTGCTTTGGGGCCTCACCTGGTGATGCTTAGAAGCATCACCGCTTCTAAGCTGTCTGTGCGCTCAGGAATCACTCCTGGCAATACTCGAGGGACTACATGGGGCACCAGGGATAGCACCTGGATCAGTCGTGTACAAGACAAGTGTCCTTCCCACTGTACTAGCACAGGACTGAGTTCCTGTAGTCCCAGTATGCGTGCACAACCCCAAGTGTTAGATTGGTGCTGGGGAAACATTGATTAATCCCCCATTGTGTGCCTTGCCCCAGAGGGCATAGCAGTATCTAATGTAGCAGTGACAGTGAGACACCCGCACCTTTGTCCCCAGTCCTCTGACAGATCCTGCGAGCCTTCCAGTGGGGCTGTGATGTCTTCTCCCCAGCATCGCCAGCCCTCCCACCCCATCACTGCTCTTCACCTCAGGGGTCTCGAGTCATCACTGAAACAAGGGGTTTGGGCACTAGAAAAAAGGGACGGTCTGGACGCTGCAGTTATTGGGGGGTCACACTGGTGGTGCTTAGGGCTGGCACTCCTGGCTCTGCACTCGGGCTTTCTCCTGTAAGGACTCGGGGGACCCTGTGCGATGCCGGGGATCAAATCTGCATCAGCCGCGTGTAAGGCAAGCACCCTCCCTGCTGCACTGTCTCCAGCTCCCTGCATTCTGCTTTTTCTGAATCGCAGCTTCCCACAGTTCCCCAGAGCCTGCAGGGTGGCAGCTTAGGTCACTCGGGCCACCACAGAGCTAAGAGGCAGAGTGGCCCAGCCAGGTCTGGTGGCGCCACGGGTCACCCGCTGACTGACAAGCTTGTGCATTTCAGGGTTGTGTGTAGGAGGGAGAGGATCACAAAAATGCTGAATGGCTAGAGGCCTGATTAGGGAGCAAGAGGAGCACTGGCTTGTGAGCTGCCTAACTGGGTAGTTTTTGGTGTTCCGTCACCACTGCCTAAAGTCTCTGGACTGTCAAGAACCGGGCTGGGGAGCACATCACCACCACCACCCTGTGCAGCCCACAGTCACCCTGGGCGGCCCAGTGACCGTCTCCCTGGGAGGGCGTGGCTGAGCTGGGATTCCAAAAGCTGGTCTCAGGCTGAGCACATGCTTCCTGAGGACTTCTCAGGACTCCTGAGTCCTGGGTTCGTTCCTAGTCAATGCACCAAGCACTGCAAGGTGTGATCCCCAGACAAAACCCCAAAAAGCAGGTCTTCGCACTGCTGGGCCCCGTAGACCATGTTTCACTTCCCCCACCGCCTGGTGTAAAATGGGGAGGTCTCCCCCTTGATGACCTGACCCCTGAAGGTTTCCCAGAACTGCAGAGCTGGGTCAATAGGATGCTTTTTCCAGTGGTTTTCATCACTCCCAATTTCTGTTAGTTTTGTATCTTCAGGATACATTGACCTCATCAGATTTTAAAATGACTCTGCTATTTTCTTACTCGGATATTTTGGAAAGGCCCTGGTGGTTATACAGAGATGGGGAAGAAGGAAGATGAATAGCAGGTACAGGAAAGCTTCCACGTTAGGCCTCAGACCACCCACCTGCCCTGCCAAGTGCTGGCACCGAGCCAGGCCCGAGCTGTGCCTGAGGACTATTTCTTTCTCGCTGAGAGTTTGTGTGTCAGACCAGATGCTGCAGATCTAGTTCTTCCTGGTTCTGCCTGGGGAGGGCTGTGGGCTCCCAGGGCATAGCATGTCCCCAGCAAGCTGAGAGGACCCTTGTACACTGACCAGTCATTGGGGACTAAAATACTGGCCTTCTCCCCCTTCCTCCCTCTGCCCCCCCAAAGGAAATGTGTGGTGACGATTCAGTGTTTCTCGTAACTCACTGGTAGGTGAGTTGCCTTGCTTCTACCCATCACCCTGGAGAACTGTAACATCTTTGCCGAATCGAAGGTTTAAGAGACGTGAGCAGACACAGTCAGGGCTGTCACTTCAGTACCACCGCTCCAGGCCTCAGCCACCCGCAGCAGAGAACCCTTTTATTCTTTTTGGGTCACACCTGGCAGTGCTTCAGGCTTACTCATGGCTTTGTGTGCATGGATCACTTCTGGTAGTACTTGGGGGACCATATGGAGTACTGGAGATCGAACCTGGGTCTGCTGTATGCACGCACGAGCCTTACCTTGCTTACTACTATCTACTACTGCTACCTTCTCAGGCTCCAAGGCCCCATATTTTCAGAGGAAGAACTTTCCAGAAGCTCTTTAGAAAGGTCATCCCCTCCCTGCATGAGTCTGGGGAAGGGGACCTAAGAGATCATACAGCAGGAAGGGCCACCAGGTGGTCCTGAGCCTGCCAGGAGTGTTCCACTTGGGTACAGAACCAGGACTGAGCTCTGAGTACCACCAGGTGCGGCTCAAAAACCCAAAACAAAGAATCCTGGGGGATTTTAGTTGCATTCAGTAGAAAGTCTAATCTGACACCCTGGATGGGGTCAGCAGCTTTGCATCAAGCCCTCCACTGGCTTGGTGGCAGGTGGTGGAATAGAAACAATAGGCACCTGAGACAGACCCCATTGCACCTCCTCTCCCACAACTGACTCCCTGCTGCAGGGCATCGACCTAAGGACTGGGATGGGGCCGGAGGGTCAGATCAGAACTCTCCCAGAACTTTCAGGGACAGACCGAGCCAGCCAGTGGGGAGGACTGTAACCTAGGGGCCAGCCATGCCCCATAGGGTTTCTCATTCCGTCAACACCCTGCGTTCAGGGACTAAGACTGACCTCTGGGTCTGAAGAGACCGTGCAAGGGTTAAGGAGCTTGTCCTGCACGTGGCCAGCCCAGTTCAGTCCCTGGCACTGCCTATCCCAGAAGACCAGGAGTGATCCCTGAGCAGAGCTAGAAGCAGTCTCCTGAGCTACTAAAATTGAGCTCTTGTCACAGCTTTTCATAAGAAAGTAAAATTATGAAAATTACGAACCGAGGGCAGAGATGTGCTCTGCAACATAGGAGGCCCAGGTTCAATGCTTGTCCTCTCCTGGTCCTTCAGGTGTGGCCCCTGGAGCCCCTGGGAGTGCTTCCTCCTCCTGGAAAGCCCCAGATCAAGGAATAGCAATTATGATGAGCAGTTCCCCACCTAAGTAACTGCCAAGTTCCTGGCAGGAGGCTCGTTGAGGTGTATGGGATACCCCAAGAGCCCAAGGCTCCACCACCGTGTCTGTCGAATGCTGGGAGGAAAAGCAGCATTTGAGGAAAACCCCACAGGTCCCACGCCTGACCGACGTGGCCCCTGCGTGCTGGTGTTTGTAGGTCAAGTGTGGGTGCTGAACGTGGGTGAAGTGACACATGCAGCCTGCTGGCAGTTGGGGGGTGGGGGTGGGAGTGGGGACCAGCCAGCAAAGGTTTCCCCCGCCCCAGGCCCTTTGTACTCTGACTAGGCCTTCTCTCAGAGGTGCTGCCCCCCAGGCGGCTGTCAGCCTGGGGACGGACCACACGGACAGCAGGTGTGTAGCCACGGCAGCAGCTGCCCTGCTCCTAACGCTTGTGTTCTATGTCTGCTCAGGGAGAAACAAAGGCAGCACTGCCCTCAGTGGAGGCTCAGCACTGGCAGAACGCAGCGGCCGAGAAGGTTCCAGCCAGAGGATGCCCCGACAGCCCAGTGCAACCCGGCTGCCCAAGGGGGCTGGGCCCGGGAAAAGTCCTCCTCGGAGCAGTACCTGAGGGGCACAGACTGTTCACACGGCCTCCCCACAGGGGCTTCCTGCGTGGCGGTTGGTAATAAATCATTTTGGAAAAAGCAGGATCCCACTCAAGACCCCTGTGTCTGTCACGTCTTAAGTATATTAAAGTACAAAGATGGAGAATTTGTTGTGTGCTTGACTCAGTCTCACTGCAGCTGATGGAATCGGGTGACTTCTAACAATTACTGCACCTTGCTGGACCTCATTTTCAGGTGTGAGCAAAAGCTTGTGTGTTACTTCTTCTAAGTGTTTCTATTTATAAAGCAAACATCCCTACATTTTGGTGGGGTTCAGTGGGGTGGAGGAGCAGGGGGACTCCGGAGGAATCTTTGCAGTTAGAGGGAAAGTGAGGTCAAAGATACGGCTCTGGGGCAAAACATTTGCCTTGCATGTGTGAGACCTGGTTTTGATCCCAGGCACTGTAAAAAGAAAGATGTACCATCATAACTTCTCCATCCAGTGTGCTGGGGTGAACCCAGTAAAAACTCCTGCCTGCAGCATGCCCTAACTGGATACATCTGATGAGAGTTTTCAGGACGTCCTGGCTCAGATTTTAAAACCCCAGTGCTGAGCTTTAAGATGGAGCTCTAAGTGGAGGGGCCTCGAAAACAGCCAACTTCATTTTCATTTTTTTGTTTTGTTTTGTTTTTGGGTCACACCCGGCAAGGCACAGGGGTTACTCCTGACTGTGCACTCAGGAATTACTCCTGGCAGTGCTCAGGGGACCATATGGGATGCTGGGAATTGAGCCTAGGTCAGCCGCGTGCAAGGCAAATGCCCTACCCGCTGTGCTACTGCTCTAGCCCCCAGCTTAATTTTCAAAATCAAAGGTGTTCCTGGAACTGGGCACACCTCTGCGACCTGGATCCTTTCTCTGGGGCTGGGTCACAGAAGCGGCCATGCCACTCACGCCCTCCTGGCAGCCCCACAAGAGCACACAGGAGCTTAAGACAGAAACTTTAATGACTGAGAGCAGAGGGAAGGGCCTGCCAGCCCCGTGCTCCCGTTCAGTACTCCTCCCCTTCTTCGGCCTCTGCTTCCACGGAATCCACGCCCACCTCTTCATAATCCTTCTCCAGAGCTGCCAAATCTTCCCGGGCCTCCGAGAACTCCCCTTCCTCCATGCCTTCGCCCACATACCAGTGCACAAAGGCGCGCTTGGCATACATGAGGTCGAACTTGTGGTCCAGGCGGGCCCAGGCCTCGGCGATGGCGGTGGTGTTGCTCAGCATGCACACGGCCCGCTGCACCTTGGCCAGGTCCCCCCCGGGAACAACGGTGGGGGGCTGGTAGTTGATGCCCACCTGGCAGAGAAAGAGAAGGAAACGCTAAGGTTGTCGGCCTTGGGGCTGCTTTCACAGAAATCAAGGCACAGAAGTGTGTGCTGGCGGCTGGCTGAGGCTCCCGTTCCCCTGCAAACAGTCCCTGGGCCACTGTGTGCTGGACAAGGAGGGCAGAGAGCTGGTTGCCAGACAGAGCAGAACCGGGGAGCCAGCCACCCTGGCTCAGATCCAAGTGGCCTGAGGGCAGTGACTGGTCTACACGCAACAGTATACCAGGCAAGAGGCCGATCCACAGTCTGAAAAGGGACACTGCTCACCACTCCAGGTTTTCTTCAAGGAGTCAATAAGCCGGCGCTCCTGTCTGTGCTGCAGCATCTCCCCGCCACCCCAGTACACTTAAGGCAGGCTGACCTGGTCAATCCCGGGCACCCTATATGGTCACCCAAATCCACCAGGAGTGATCCCTAAGCACAGAGCCAGGAATAAGTCCTGAGCACCACCTGCTATGGGTCCCCACCCCTGAGAAGAGGGACGTTTCTTAGGAAAACATAGGGCAGGGTACTCAGAGGAAAATAGACATGCTGCCATATTGTCATAAGAATATTTCTGACGGACTGGAGTGATAGCACAGCAGGTAGGGTGTTTGCCTTGCACGCAGCCGACCCGGGTTCGATTCTCAGCATCCCATATGGTCCCCTGAGCACTGCCAGGAGCAATTCCTGAGTGCATGAGCCAGGAGTAACCCCTGTGCATCGCCGGGTGTGACCCCAAAAAAAATATTTCTGACAGACTTTTTAAAATCAAACACTGCATACAAAATGTGAATTATATTAAATGATTACATACAGATAAAATGAGATGTATTTCAACACTTTATAGTAATGCCAGAACTTTTTGTTTTGTTTTGTTTTCCTATGACCTTTATTATTTGCTTTAGTTTTGGGGCCATACCTTGGGGTGCTTGGGGCTTACTCATAGCTCTGTACTCAGGGATCACTCCTGGAATATTTGGATTATATAGAGAGCCAGGGATTGAACCTGGAGAGACCACATGCGAAGCAAGTGCTCTGTCCACTGTACTATATCTTTGATGATGTAACCTTTTTTTTTAAACAATATTTTTGTTTTGGTGAGCAGATAAACAGTTATAAATTATAACTAATTATAAATAAATTTAAATTATATTAGTTGAAATATTTTTCATTTACTGTGATTTATTATAGTCACATGTTTACATGTTTATGTTTTTACTTCATTTCAAAAATCTACCTGAATTATGGACAGTCCTATATTTCTCTTCTTTTTGTTTTTGGGCCACAATTGGTGGTATTCAGGGCTTACTCCTGGATCAATGCTCAGGGATCATTCCTGGTGGGCTCAGAGGACCATATGGGGAATTGGGGATGGCTGTGTACAAAGCTCAAGCCTTACCTGCTGTGCTATCACTCTGGCTCTACAGTTTCACATTTCTAAGTGGAATCTACATTTCTCATATTAATTCTACAGCCCCCCCCACTCCCCCGCCCCCAAAAGAAATCCTTAACATGAGGCTATTCCTATTAGCCCCCCCAAAAAAAATCAGCAAGATAAAACTCAGGAACAAAGTCAGAAAACAGGGCAGAGTAAAATGATAGCTTGAGATCACTATTACGGCTCAGAGCCCAGCTCACTGAAACAAGCATGTTCTGCAAAGGGGCAGCACGGGGCAGGGGCTTTGGCCAGACCCACCTTAAAGCCCGTGGGGCACCAGTCCACAAACTGGATGGTGCGCTTGGTCTTGATGGTGGCGATGGCGGCGTTGACATCCTTGGGCACCACGTCCCCCCGGTACAGCATGCAGCAGGCCATGTACTTGCCGTGGCGAGGGTCGCACTTGACCATCTGGTTGGCCGGCTCGAAGCAGGCGTTGGTGATCTCGGCCACCGACAGCTGCTCGTGGTAGGCCTTCTCGGCCGAGATGACCGGCGCGTAGGTGGCCAGGGGGAAGTGGATGCGCGGGTAGGGCACCAGGTTGGTCTGGAACTCGGTCAGGTCCACGTTGAGGGCCCCGTCGAAGCGCAGCGAGGCCGTGATGGAGGACACGATCTGGCCGATGAGGCGGTTGAGGTTGGTGTAGGTGGGCCGCTCGATGTCCAGGTTGCGCCGGCAGATGTCGTAGATGGCCTCGTTGTCCACCATGAAGGCGCAGTCCGAGTGCTCCAGGGTGGTGTGCGTGGTCAGGATGGAGTTGTAGGGCTCCACCACGGCCGTGGACACCTGCGGGGCCGGGTAGATGGCAAACTCCAGCTTGGACTTCTTGCCGTAGTCCACCGACAGCCGCTCCATGAGCAGGGAGGCGAAGCCGGAGCCGGTGCCGCCGCCGAAGCTGTGGAAGATGAGGAAGCCCTGGAGGCCCGTGCACAGGTCAGCCTGGGGAGGGGAGCACGGCGGTGAGCAGCGCCCAGTGGGGCGGGCCCCAGGCCCCACACGCGCGCCCGCGGGCTCTCGAGTCACGGCCCAGTCACCCCTAGACTGGCCACTGGCCCGAGTCTCGCCCCGTGCCCCCCGCGCCCAGGACCAGCACGCGGCCCCTTTCACCAGTTTGCGGATCCGGTCCAGGACCAGGTCCACGATCTCCTTGCCAATGGTGTAGTGGCCTCTGGCGTAGTTGTTGGCCGCGTCCTCCTTCCCGGTGATGAGCTGCTCCGGGTGGAAGAGCTGCCGGTAGGTCCCCGTGCGCACCTCATCTGCCGAGAGGGAGCATGCGTGTGCTGGACGCTCCGGGCCCCCAGGAGTCCCCCGCACACAGATCTGGGGACCACCTACACCAAACACGCTCTTCCTCGAGAGTCCCACCTCCCAGGAAACGTGTCTGGCTGACTCGGTGGACACGGGTGCTCCTTGCCTCCAGGCAGGGCCCATGGGCTCTTGGTGCTGGTGCCAGCTCTGCGGGTCCCAGACCAGGGCCCCCTCCACCTGTGTAGGCACCAGGTCCCAGGGCCACGCTCCGAGACCAGGTCAGGCTGCAGGGGGACAGCCTCTCACTGAGTGGGCCAGTGGAGGCCACTCTGGCAGCTGTCCGTGCCCCCACCCACTTCTCACCTGGAGGACGCCAACCACTGTGCTCTCCTGCCTGGCCCTGCGGGCCTAGCACCCAGCACTGAGGGGTGCCCCATGCCAGGGTTCCATAGCAGCTTTCCCCCCTCCAGTTCCCTGAGGTGGGAACGTCAGTTCCACGCTCCTGCCAGCCCGGGCCTTGCTCACATCCCCGGCCGCGGTGTCCCACCCTCCCACGAGGTCGCCCAAGCGCCTACCGACCACAGTGGGCTCCAGGTCCACAAACACTGCCCTGGGCACATGCTTGCCAGCCCCCGTCTCGCTGAAGAACGTGTTGAATGAGTCGTCCCCACCACCGATGGTTTTGTCACTTGGCATCTGCCCGTCGGGCTGAATCCCATGCTCCAGGCAGTACAGCTCCCAGCACGCATTGCCGATCTGGACCCCCGCCTGTCCCACGTGGATAGAGATGCACTCGCGCTGGGGACAGGAACACACTCGTGAGACCCACTTTCACTCACCGCAGTTAATATTGTAGCATTGAAATACGAACTGCTGACCTAACTTAATTTTTTGGGGGGGATACCACCTGGAGCTCAGGGGTTACTCCTGGCTCTGCACTCAGCAATTACTCCTGGTGGTACTTGGGGGACCATATGGAATGCCTGGAATCGAATCCGAGTCGGCCACATGCAAGGCAAACACCCTACTCGCTGTATTATCACTCCAGCTCCCTCAGTATTTGTAAAACTTTTTGGGGG